CCGCATGCATTCCGCAAGCATTCCGATTCGGGACCTGCTCGATGCCACTGATGCTCTCGTCGCGGCCGGCTTCCGCAATCCCGCCTGGGCTGACTTGCCCCAGCGTGTCCCCCTGTCCAGCCAGCCGACGATGCTGAACCAGATGTTGCTTTGCGAGGCTGGCAGCGCCCTGCCCCACGGGTGCTTGATGATTCTGCTGTCGCGGAACATCGCCGCAGTGTTGGCCCTGCCGGGCTCGCACTCTTGGACTCACAGTCGGGCCCGTTTGCAGCCAGGGTTCTCACAGTCCGTCCTACAGTTCCTGAGCTTGTTGTGGATTCTGCGCGTTTCCGTGCTTTGCTCTTCCGTCGCTTCCGACTTCCCTTGCCACTCGCCCCAGCCCGCTGCCGATGCCAACGCCCGTTGGACGTCTTGGGTGATCATGTCGCAGCCGCGGCACCTTACGCATGTGAGGAGGGCCGCTTGAACGGGCCGCTGCACGGGTCTGCCGTGAGACAGGAGCACATGTGGCGACGACTGTGCTCGTCCGTGACTTCCACTTCCAAGCTGCAGGGCAGGATGAACGGCGCATCGAGGTCATTGCTAATGGACTTCCTCTGTGGGGTGGCTCCCAGCTCGCAGTTGACACTACCTCCGTCTTCCCACCAACGTCAGCCGGAGCACCCCGTTGTCGCGATGCCGCTAAGTCGTCCTCGGCATCGAGGTCGGCGGACGCTGGAGTGCTGAACCTGCCACCTTCGTCCGGCTGTTGGCCCGAGCGCGCGCACACACTGCCCTCCCTTTGCAGCAACTTGCAGCCTTCGTTGGGCGATGGTCGGGATTCTTGTCGGTTGCCGCAGTCAGGTCCTTTGCGACCAGCTTGCTCTCCTTGCCTCTTTCCAACACCGCGAATGCTGATGGCGAGCTGCCTTTGATCAGCGACGTCCCCGCTGACTCCTCCGAGTCACCTCCAATTGGCAAGCAACAAAGAGACATGAATGCGAACTCTGGAAGTACTGGGTCTCACGTTGGATTCGCGGATGGCACAGAAAGGATCGTCGCTGTGCGCCACACCGAGCAGAAGTATGACGCGAGAAAGCATGTGGATGCAAAGACTCTATAGTGACAAGGGGCGGGTGGACATTAGCAGAGATCGGGTTTTGCGCATTACGAGCAACAGGCGGTGGCTCAGATGTTGCACGGTCGTGCCGGACGTCCTACAGAGGCAGACCCTGCCGGCCAGGCATGGGTCCGGCCACGGGCGGAGGCCCAAGCAACGTGGCAGCATGTGTGCGCAACACGCAGACGGACGAGCTGAGCAATGAGTTGGAGTGATTCGTCGTTCCAACGCCCGCCAGTTTCGCAAACGAACATGCAAAGCTCACGGAGGAGGGGAGGCAGTGCGCTTGCGTTCGGCAACGGCGAGCGCTGCACCTTCCCTCGTGCCGGCAGGGGTGCGGACGCTTTTCAGCGCCGAGACCATGGTGACGTCACAGCGCCACGCTTCGCTGAGCTGTCTGGCGTCGTAGGCGACGAAGTCGACCCGGAATGGGCTTCTTCACCCTGCAGCTTGTGCTGGGCAAGAGGCAATGTGAAGTGCCCACCGCCATGGATATCGTTTATCCCGGTCTATCCAACAACCGGGGCTGACGGATTTTGGCCGCAGCATGGACGCCCTGGAGCGAAGCTGACAGTTGCTGCGACGTGGTTTTGGGGAGGCTGCGGGAAAGGATACGCTAGCTCTCGCACCGCGCTAGGTCTCGCACCGCTCATGTGCACGCTAAACGGCGGAAGGCAGACGACGACGACCACGGCGTTCATGGTTATCGATATTTTACTAGAAGTACAAAATGTGCGCATGCAGATTTGCACATGTTATGCCATGTTATCCCAATTTATGTGCTTGTGTTGGGTTCGGCAGCAGCGCTTAATCATGGCGGCACGCTGTTTTCCAGAACAATTGCAAAGTTGCAGTCGCACCGAGTGGACAACCCATACGCCTTTGCCAAGAATTGAAAACGTAGTGATGCGGCGATGTAGCAAACAGCGGCCAATCACATTCGATGGAACGCACCCAGTAGCGTACAAAGTTAGCTACCAATGAAGTCTGGTTTCAAAACTGGTCGTGCGCATGCCTTACGGCTGCTTGCTTCATGAGCCTGTGAAGGAAGCAACATTCACCCGCCACCACTTGTCAGACGAGGTCGTCCGATGGGTGGAGGGCAAAGGGTGGCGGGCTTAGTGCATCATGCCCACTCCTGTTGGCCCACTTGCCAGCCCAGCGTATTCTGGCAAAATAGCCAGGTTTGGCTTCATTTCGCCGGATGATGGAGGAATGGAGTGGAACGCTAAGCTTCCGAAGGTCTTTACAAGTGCTGGCTTTCTTCGAGGGCCGGACGTGTTCGTGCACGCACGTGAGGCACCAAGGGTGTATTCGTTTTCGCATTGAGAATCATATGCAGCTGCAGCTCGTGCACCTGCCGCGATCTCTGCCGGAAGGCCGGCATGCTGACATCCGGCGATCGAGCAGTGGCCCGAAGATTTGGACAGGACTTCGGATTCTCATGGATGCATTCAGAGGTGCAGTATCGCGAAAAAGATGACAGAATGGGTGGGCCGCTGAGATTATGCTTCCCACAGAGTAGCTGGTCTGCCTGTCGCATGTCCGTTCTCAGGCAAAGCTCGTTCCGAAGCGTGCCAGATAACAGTGTTGGAGGCACAGTCTTAGTCCTTGCAGCTTGCTCTTGTCAGAGTTTCGTTTGCGCAGGAGTCCGGAAGCAAACGGCATGGTCGTACTCTGAGTATTGAACTATTGCAGGGCCACGAAACGAGTTCTTGCGCAATGTAGGCCGCCGGCGACGTTGGCTTCTCAGCTGCTCCGGATGCGGAGAAACACGTGCGCTCCATTTTCGCAGGACAGAGATCGCCAAGTGAAGGCTACAGTTCCTACGGCAATGGCAGTTTCGGCCTCAATGAGTGTGCTGCTTGAGCCCTGAATAAACCTCGGAGCGAAATCTTGGGATGCAGGTTATGAGGATGACAGTGATCAAGACAGTCGGCAACGCGGCAGGGGTCTTTGGATGTAATCCGAGCATGCAAGCACAGTTGTGCAAGTGCGACATTGCCATTTTTTGCAGCCCTGCACACGATCAGTAGGTCCAAGTTTGGTTTTCAGTGCTCGCGTGGCTCTGATGCATGGCGAAAATATGTAGCTTTAAGTCTCAGGGCATGAATCTCGGGAGAGGAGCAGGCAGGGCTGCACGGCGACAACATGAGCAAATGGTTGCAGCATGTTGCAACAAAGCGGTGTCATTGCATTTGCATGTACAGGTCGAGAAGGCGACGTCGCCGGCGGACAAGCAGGGTGCTTAGCCGGCAACTTTGTGTCAGCCTATTTGTGCATGATGATGCGTGGCAAGGTGACAAGGAAGGGCGGCAAGACCGACGGACGAGACGCCGGCGACGTTGACATACTTCACGGGTAAAAGCAAAAGGGTTGCGGTGGATTGTGCAAACCGCTGCTTTGAAGCCACGCCGTATCCAGGATAAAGACCAACGCACGCTCGACGACATGCCGTGGTCTATTCATTTACCGGCTTCGCAATACAGACTGGTTTTCAGCGGGGTGAACTGAACCGCACCTGCCGCAATTCACGTCCAGTCGAGCCATTGTTGGTGGCTAGCATAAGCAATCCGAGGAAAGCAATCGGCCAGGCCACAGGCACAGCATGGCACAGCACCCGGGGTCACGCTATTGCGCAGTTGCTGTCGAGAGTTTGAACGGCTTTCGTATCTTAGTAGCAATAAAGACCAGCAACATCCGCCTTATGCATCCCTGTTCTTAAGATCGTTTCTCAATCGCTGCGGCAGGACATCCCGACCGAAACGCAAGCATTTTCCGCACATTAACGCATTGGCCATGTCCAAGGCCAAAAAACATGCGACTGCAAACGAGTAGTTGCAAGCAAGACAATTGCGGCAACAATGGCCTTGCGTTGGACTCGAGCAATTCCTGGCAATCTTGGCAGATTCTGTCAGATGTTCGAGATACAGGTATCAAGCGTACATGTATGGCTTCGAGCTAGGGGTTGAACTCATGACCGGAGTGTTGCATCACAGGCATCCTTGCAAAACACCGAGGATGGTTGGAGTTCTCTAAGTTAAACCATGCTTCGGACATTCTATCCTTTCGGGTGTCGGTCTTCACTTGAGGGTAGATCTATATAAACCACGTCTCCTGACTTTGCTTTGCAGAGGCGATTTATTCACATCGTCAATTGCCTTCAAATTGCAAGAACCCGCAAGGGCGAGCCCAAGAGCGCGCAAGGGCAGTACTGTAACATGGCTATATGTCAGCGTGTGTAACCGAGCCTTCCCCATGATGCATTTTAGATCTTGGAACCTTTCTTTCCTAAGCCTCCAGCCCGAAACCAAAGCGTGCGACGACCTACGGGTCATGTCTTGGTATTCACGATGCTGAGGTGCATGATTATACAAGCTGCAGGTATGAAAAACTCGTGTGCTCGCAAGAAACATGCTAGAACATGCAAGGGCCGGCGGAAGGGGTATTAATGGTCACTCATCGGAACAACAATATCGATCAATCCCCACTTGATGTTTGTCTCAAGCACTGGCGTCTGATGCGATACCGTTGCAGACATTACCATATTTCTGGAAGCGGGCATGGATTTGAGACTCAAGCGAGAGTAGTGAATGTGGTTGACATGCACAGGCTTCAGAGTGACATCAGGTTTTGAGGTGAAGCCGGTATGGTATATTTACTTTGTGCTTATTTCTCGGAAGGGCATTCGAACCTGAAGCAGTATCACGTGTTCATATTTGTGGACCAAAGCGCACATCTCATGAATTGTGCAGCCATGCCGCCGTGATAGGGGCTGCCTGGAGGAGCTTTGCAGTCACCAGTGAAATTCAGCAGAGAAGCGCAGATAGCTGCCTACTTTGTCGACCGGTGCTTTAGCATGTTGAGGGACCTGGCAGGCAGCAGTTGCCGCTTTAGCGCAATGCTGCAGGTCAGGTGCTGCAAGAATGCTCTTTTGGACTACGGTGTTTCAACATGCTTTGTTGGCAGATGATGGCCAGAGCGGCTTTGGTGCTTGGGGTTTTACTTTTGGGCGCCACCCCGGCGCCTATTGCAGCACCAGTACTGTCAGGTTTTGAGCTTCTGAGTCGCAAGCTGTAACAGCAGAAGAATGTGTTTTTGCACATGATGGCACATGGCAGGCCGTCTTTGTCCTGCTGTGCCGAAGCCGCTTCTTTGCGTCCCGGATGGCCCCGGGCCGAGGATGCAGAGAGATTTCAATAGAACTCAAGAGAAGAAGCAAAAACACAAACACACACACACACAGACACACACACACAGACACAGACACACACAGACACACACAGACACACACAGACACACACAGACACACACAGACACACGCAGACACACACAGACACACACAGACACACACAGACACACACAGACACACACAGACACACACAGACACACAGACACACACACACACACACCACACACACACACACACCACACACACACACACACAACACACACACACACACACACACACACACACACACACGCAACACACGCACACAGACACACACACACACACACACACACACAGACACACACACACACACACACACACACACACACACACGCAACACACAACACACACACACACACACACACGCACACAGACGACACACAACACACACACACACACAACACACACAACACACAACACACAACACAACACACACGACACACACGACACACACGACACACACAACACACACAACACACACGACACACGACACACACAACACACAACACACACAACACACACAACACACACAACACACACAACACACACAACACACACAACACACACACACAACACACACAACACACACATCACACACACCACACACAACACACACAACACACACACACCACACACAACACACACAACACACACAACACACACAACACACACAACACACACACAACACACACAACACACACAGAGACACAGAGACACAGAGACACAGAGACACGGAGACACCGAGACACAGAGACACAGAGACACAGAGACACAGAGACACGAGACACAGAGACACAGAGACACAGGGACACAGAGACAAAGAGACACAGAGACACAGAGACACAGAGACACAGAGACACAGAGACACAGAGACACACAGAGACACACAGAGACACACAGAGACACACAGAGACACACAGAGACACACAGAGACACACCGAGACACACAGAGACACACAGAGACACACAGAGACACACAGAGACACACAGAGACACACAGAGACACACAGAGACACCAGAGACACACAGAGACCCCAGTACAACACAGATACACACATAGACACACAAACACCCACAGACACAAACACAGACCAACACACCCACACAGACACACACAACACACCCAGACACACACAGACACACACAGACGCACACAGACACCACAGAACACTTTACACAGAACACACACAGCCCACACACATACAACACAGACCCACACACAGACACAACACTAGACACACGCACAGACACACACACATACACCCACACACACACAGACACACCATACAACCACACACACACAGACACACCGACCACACAACACAGACACACACACATACACCCACACAACAACACACAGACACACACACACACAGACACACACACCACACACACGCACAGACACACACACCACAACACACACACACACACACACACACACACACACACACACAGACACACACACACACACACACACACACACACACAGACACACACACGCACACGCACAGACACACGCACAGACACACACACTTGACACATCGTGTCGCAGGTCTGATCTGTCGGTGCATACTGTCAGGGAAAGTCAGCAGCTGTCAGGGAAAGTCAGAAGCTGCAAGGGAAAGTCAGAACATGCAATCAGAAGCTCGTACGAATCTTGCTCTAGGGTTACTGATTTGCAGGTACGTTTGCACCCCTCCCTGGGGGTGTCTTCGTTGGCCGGTGACCCCCAGGGAGAGCACCGGCCCCCTGCTGCCTAACTCACTCACGTCTCTTGGAAACAGAGTTGGACACACACAAGCCCCGAAGGGCTCCGTGGAGTGTTGATGGTCGTTGCGCGCTGTTCTTCTCACCGATTTTTTCATCAAAACGTCTTGTCCTTGGGAGATTCGCTTACAACGATAGCGTTCCTCAGCGACATGAACATAGCACACTTGAAGAACGCGCCTGCAACGCAGTAAGGCAGGGAGATGCGCACTCCGACAGCATGTAGGCATGCACTCACTCACCGATTTTTATGCTGTGAACCAATAGCATGAAGTTGCCACAGCTCACTTGACAAATCATTCTCAGTCAGCGCACATTCCACTGAACATGTCACAGGCTCATTCACCGCACGTGTCACTGGAACATAGCTGAATGTCAAAAACTTTGCATGATGTACATGCCACTGGAACATGTCGCCACCGGAACAGTTGAGTGTCACAGACTCATTCACTGCACATGCCACTGGAACATGTCGCACATGCCCTGGAACATGTCACAGACTCATTCACGGCACATGCTCTTCAGAAACACTCTCTAAAATACTGAAGCCAGACAACAGGCCCTCGCCCCTGCTCGTTCGATTCAGATTTGCATACCCGTTGAAACAGGGTTGGACACACACAAGCCCTGCCGGGCACATTGTAGCCGCTCGAAACACCGGTTGACATACAAATGCCAGCGTCTGAAAGCGGAAAATCTACGAAACCGCAGAGTCTACGCATGCTAACATAGGCGAACCACATTCATGTCAGAGAGTCTATGCATTCCAATGCAAGCTACCCGCACTCATGTCACAAAACTGCGGAGTCTACGCATTCCAACATAGGCGAACCGCACTCATGTCACGAAACTGAAGTCTACGCATTCCAACATAGGCAAACCGCACTCATGTCACGCGTCAGTTAGATGCACATGCAACTGGCACATAGCAGACTCATTCATGGCACATGCCACTGGAACATAGCTGAACGTCACACACTGCGCATGACGCACATGCCACTGGAACCTAGCTGAATATCACAAACTGTGCATGACGCACATGCCACTGGAACATGTCGCAGACTCCCTCACCGGACGTGCCACTGGAACATAGCTGGATGTCACAGACTGTGCATGACGATAGCACTCACTTGACACAATGTGTCACAGGTCTCAAGTCAGCTCGAGAAGCCAGCTTGATAAGTCAGCTCAGAGATTTCAAGTTCTAGGTTACGGAACTCCAGGCGCATCGCAAGACAGATGACTGAAAGCATACAAACCGTCACTCTAGGTTACGGGTCTCCAGGCTCATTGCAAGACAGATGACTGAAAGCGCGCAAGCTGTCACTCTAGGTTACAGGTCTCCAAGCCCATTGCAAGACAGATGACTGAAAGCGCTTGCAAGATCACCTCTGAAGTCATGCAGATTGGGGCAACCATGCAAAAACAAGGAGCATATAGTTTGTCACCTGAACCTGAGAAAAACCTGGTTTTGTCCACACAACACAAACTAGGGGCACGCCAGCTGTGTACGCAGACACCCAGGTCGCTGGACACACACAAGCCCTATCGGGCTCACTAATTCTCACAACAGGCACTCGGACTTCATCTCAGACACTTGCTAAGCAAAGCTGAACAGGTGCAAGCGCTCATGTGTTGCTGTTGAAGCATTGCAGGCAATCAGTAATACTGACGACACTGCAGAGTCTATGCATTCCAACACAGGCGAACCACACTCATGCCAGAGAATCTACGCATTCCAACATAGGCAAACCGCACTAAAGTCACGAAACCGAAAGGTCTACGCATTCCAACCTAGGCGAACCGCACTCATGTCACGAAACTGAAGTTTACGCATTCCAACATGGGCGAACCGCACTCATGTCACGACACTGACTGCGTTCCAACATAGGCGAACCGCACTAAAGTCACAAAACCGAAAGGTCTACGCATTCCAACATAGGCGAACCGCACTCATGTCACAAAGCTGCAGAGTCAGAGTCTATGGATTGTTGTCGTCGTTGTCATCAAATGATTTGATTAGACGACTGCGAACAAGAAGAGTTACAGAGACAGGCTCGAAGAAATGACGGAGAAAGTGCATGACAATATGCACTCACTTACCCAGATCGCCACCAGACCACCAGAAACCAAAGCGTATTCCGCGGACGTCCCTTGCACATCACTTGCATATCCCCTGCACATCACTTGCACGTCCCTTGCTGCACGTCGATCATGTTCTTGGTCCGACACTGCAAAGTCTGACGAGAAGTCGGACGAGTGCACGTCCGATACAGAGACAGCATCGCTCTCAAAGCTGGACACCGACATAATTTGAAGCTACCTGTACGTTACAAGTCTTTTTAGACCTGGAGAGTGCCTTGAGGACATGAATCAAAACAGTGTCTGCAAACATTCACAACACATGCTGCCAGCAGATCACTTGCATAACCCTTGCACATCCCTTGCACATCACTTGCGCGTTCCTTGCACATCCCTTGCAA